GGCTGGGGGACATGGGAGCTGGGGCTGGAGGCAGGGTATCTCTAGGGGATGGGGCCAAAGCTCCCACCGGATGGACTGATGCTGCCGCCTGGATGAACCAGAGGATACCTCCACTCCGTCTACCCAGTGTTTAGACTACCTGTGCAGGACTCCCAAATTGTACAGTAGTCTGCACATTGGTTAGGCTGGGCTGGGTTAGACCCTCGGCACCGTCGCTGAAGAGCCGCACCAACCCTGCTGTCTTCCAGAACCAGAGCCTGGACCTGGGACAGGGAGCTGTGGGGCACAGGGTGGACTGGGAGGAGGTGCAGAGCTATGGGACTGCCATCCTGTTACGGGACAGAGGTTGTGGTGATAGGGGAGGGCAGCGGAGGAAGACGGAGAAGATGGGGGGGGGTCGTCGGCACTGGTGATGTGGGTGATTGCCTGTCTGACAAGATGCTTCCCCAACCCAAAGACTAGAGGACATGCGGCCTGGCAGAGGGGACCAAACTCCTGCCCAAGCCCAAACTACAGTTATCCTAGTGCAAAAATGCACTCACACTCCAGAGCTGAGAGGCATACATCTGTGCATCCCAGCTTTAGAGCGCACATCCATGCCCAGACACACTCAAGTGCACGCACTCACACTCAGACACACAGCCTCACAATGGGAAGTCCCCTTCCCCCAGCCTCTCTTCCCAAACACATACACATATTCTCAAATATCCTTCATTCACACTCTCTCCCATCACACCCCACCCCCACGCGGACACACAAGCACAGACAATGAAGTCACATGCAAGCACACAAATTCACACCTAGGTGTTTATTCCCCTAACACACTCATAATACCCTCAACACCCAAGAGATACACACACACACACACACACACACACACACACACACACACACACGCACGCGCGCGCGCGCGCGCACCACACACATACACGCACGCGTGGGCACACACAAGTGCTTGCAGACCCCACCTCTCCACATACACTAGTCAGATTCCACATACAACTAAACTCAAATCTATATACAAAAGTTAAAAAAAAAGCTCACCCTGGGTATATAGAAGCCCCTTTCAGTTTGGCTCACCCGGCTAGC